AACTCTTGGAATCTGTGAAAGGTGGATCCTTGAACAATGGGGGGGGGGGTTGAAGTCTCTGGGAACTGACTATAAGCAATAGAAATTGACTGAGACCAAGACTGTAATCTATTAAGATTCAGATACTAGAAAGTGTGTTTTATTTTGTTTGTAACCATACCTATCTTTTTTCCTCTTGCTTAGTATCACTTAAATCTTTGTTCTTTATTAATATATGTATTCTTGTTTTATTACAAAACCATCTCAGTGCTGTATATTAACTGAAGCGAGAGTCTTCAGCTAACCTAACAGATGGGATGGGTCTCCAAGTCGGGCTCCAGTCTGAGCCTGAGCATCTCCAGTACCTTTTTAGTCTGCAGCCTGAACCCCATGATCCCGAGTCAATTGGCCCAGGCTCTGGGACTCTGTGCCATGGGTTTTCTCTTCCAGCGTAGACATACCCATAGAGCCTTGAGGAGTTTGCCGGTGAGTTAGAAAGACAGGTGTGGTAGGAAGCTGACATCCGGTCTAATCTCCAGCAAAGCTCACTCTTGCTGAAGCAGAGAGGTAACACAGTGGCTTGTAGTTCTGAGCGTCATGAACAGAATACCACAATAATGTGAAGTGGATTTTCAGTTCCCAAAGGTGGGAATGAAGTGTGTAAAATCAGTGCATCCATTATGAGAGTAGAAGAATTCCAAATTGTCAAGCTATTGTGGAACAAATTCTACGTGACTCTCCTTGATTAAATTCTGCCGGAATCTGATAGAACTAATTATAAGAGAGACTGATGGTAGCATTATTGCCAGGCAACATATCATCTACGTGTCACCAAAATGATTTGTGGCAGACATGGCACAACATGCGGTCTCAATAAAAATCCCCAGAGATCTTCCAAGGGGTACACATTTTATCTGTGTGTTACCACAGTAGGCTTTTGATAGAAACAAGAAAAAAAAATGGTACAGTGCTTTCATGAACACCATTTGGGAACAGAAAAGGGAGAGGATGATGCAGAGAAGTGAGGAAGTTGCACTACTCCACTATGCCATAACTATACTAATAATATTTAGGTCTTATATAGCGGCTTTCATCCATAGATCTCATTGCACTTTACATAGGAGAGTATCGTTATCCCCATTAAAGATGGGTTAACTGAGGCACAAAGCGGTGAAGTAACTTGCCCAAGGTCACCAAGAACCCTAATCTCCGGAGTCTCAGTCCAATACACTAGGCCACACTGCCTTCAACTAAGGAGTTAAATTTATTTTCATGAGACAGTGATGTGCCATATACATTTAACAAGGGATTTACAAATTTCGTAAGAAAATAGAGGCTAGTTAGCAATGAATTTTAGTTCACACTTCCTGCATTTGCAGTGTTGAGACTGAAGTAAACAAATGAACTGCATGCATAAATGAAAAGAACGAATTAGCAACAGGAATAATTCACAACGAGTTTGAGTGGCCTGAGTACAGACTTTCTGTAGAGACAGAGGGTCATAACATTACCAGACCATTTAGCCTAATCGGAGGGAATTCTGAGGTTACTCTTCCATTCTGGTCCCTCTTTTGGAAGCCTATCAGTCCATTGAATGCTCAGCCCAACTCGTCACCACACAATAAAACATAGGAATTGATACATTTCACGTCAGCAAAGTCTTGAAAATTACTATCTTTAGCATTGAGTGCCAAATTAAACGAGCTACACCAAGTTGAGTCCAAAACCACACTCACCTATTGATTCAATCTGGAAATCAAACGTGAGCTCTGATGACAGTTTTCGGCTAGA